AGAAATCCTCAAAATGAAGGAATCAATAAACCAAATTAAAAATTCAATAGGAAGAATCATCAGCAGACTAGACCACTTGGAAGACAGAATTTCAGCCAAGGAAGATGAAATATATAATCTTAAAAATAAAGTTGAGGGCTGGGGCTATAGCTCAGTGGCAAAACACTTGCTTAGCATGTGTGAGGCACTGAGTTCAATTCTCAGCACCACATAAAAATAAAGAAACAAAATAAAGGTATGCTGTTCATCTACAACTACAAAAAAAAATAAAGTTGAACATAGAGGATGTTAAGATACCTTGAAAAGAACTTCCAAGAGATATGGGATAGCATAAAAACACCAAATTAAGATTTATCAGGGTACATGAAGATGTGGAGATACAAAGCATGATCTTTTCAATGTAATAATATCAGAAAATTTACCAAATTGTAAGAAATGAAATAGAAAATCAAATACAGGAGGCTTACAGGTCACCAAATGTACAAAATTACAACAGACCAAAAAACTTTATTATGAAGATGTATATCATACACAATAAAGATAGAATTTTAAAGACTGGGAGAAAAAATGTCAAATTACAGTGTAGAGGTAAACCAATCCAGATCTCAGCTGATTTCCCAATCCAGACCTTCAAAGCTAGGATGTCCTGGAATAACATACACCAAGCTATGAAAGAAAATGGATGCCAATCAAGAATGCTATACCCAGCAAAATTAAGCTTCAGAATTGACGATGAAATAAAAACCTTCCATAATAAACAAAAGTTTAAAAAAATTTACAACTAGAACACCTGCACTACAGAACATTCTCAGCAAAATATTCCATGAAGATGAAATCAGTGGAGAAACTAATACAAATTAAAAACCAGAAATAAATAAAAATGATAGGGAATAAAGATCTGTTTTCAATAACAACCTTGAATGCAAATAGCCTAAATTCATCAATCAAAAGACACAGATTGGAAGACTGGATTACAAAACAAGACCCAACAATATGCTGTTTCCAAAGAACCTCATAGAAAAAGACATCCACAGACTAAAGGTGAAATAATGGGAAAAACAATATCACTCATATAGATCACCTAAACAAGCAGGGGTTTCTATTATTATATCAGACAAAATAGACTTCAAGCCAGGGTTAATCAGAAGGGACAGAGAAAGTCATTTCATAGTGCTTAAGGTAATTATACATCAACAAGACATAACAATTATAAATATTTATGCCCCAAACAATGGCGCTTCTACATAAATCAAACAAACACTTCACAATTTCAAGAATCAAATAGACCACAATACAATAATTTTGGGTGACTTTAACACACCTCTCTCACCACCAAATAGATCCATCAAACAAAAAGGAAACTACAGAACTAAATAATACAATCAATAATTTAGACTTAACAGGCAATATAGAGTATCTCATCAATAAATTATAGAATTCACTTTTTTCTCAGCAGCACACATATCTTATGCCACAAAGCAACTCTCAACAAATAGAAAAAAAAACAGAGAATTCTTGCATTCTATCAGATCATAATGGAATGAAATTATATATCAACAATAAAATAAAAAATAGAAGCTACTCTAACACCTGGTGACTAAATAATACATTACTGAATGACAAATGGATAGCAGAAGAAATCAGGTATGAAATTTAAAAAAACCTTAGAAGTAAATGAGAATAGTGACACAATATATCAAAATCTCTGGGACACTATGAAGCAGTGGTAAGAGGAAAGTTCATTGCATTGAGCTCATTTATTAAAACAATGGAAAAATCAACAAATAAATAACCTAATATTACATCTCAAAGCCCTAGAAAAAGAAGAACCACCATCAAAAGCAGTAGAAGACAGGAAATAATTAAAATGAGAGCTGAAATCAATGACACTGAAACAAAAGAAACAATTAAAAAAATTGCCAAAACAAAAGGTTAATTTTTAAAAAAATAAAATCAATAAACCCTTAGCTACACTAAAGAAGAGAGACAGAAAATTCAAATTACTAAAATTTGTGATGAAAAAGGAAATATGATGGACACTTCAGTAGTCTGAAATACAGACAAAATCAGAAACTATTTTGAAAATCTGTACTCCAATAAGATAGAAAATCTTGAAGATATTGAGAAATTTCTAGAGACATATGACCTACTCAAACTGAATCAGGAAGACAATCACAATCTGAACAGATCATTTTCAAGCAGTGAAATAGAAGATGCCATCTAAAGCCTAAAACTAAGAAAAGCTCAGGACCAGATGGATTCTCAGTCAAGTTCTACCAGACCTTCAAAGAAGAACACCTAAATCCTCCTCAAATTATTTCATGAAATAAAAAAGGAGGGAACCCTTCAAAACTCATTCTATGAACTAGTATCATTCTGATACCAAAACCAGACAAAGACACATCAAGGAAAGAAAACTTCAGACCAATACCCATGATGAACTTATGTAAAAATTCTCAATAAGATTCTGATAAATCATACATAAAAACGTATTTAAAAGATAGTGCACCACAATCAAGTGAGGTTCATCCCAGGGATGCAAGGTTAGTTCAACATATGGAAATCATTAAATCACATCAATAGACTTAAAGACAAGAATCATATGATTCTCTCAACAGATGCAGAGAAAGCATTTGACAAAATACAGCATCCCTTCATGTTCAAAACACTAGGAAAACTAGAGATAGAATGAATATACCTCAACACTGTAAAAGCTATATATGTTTACCTAAGGCCAACATGATTTCAAATGGAGAAAAGTTGTTCTAAAAATTTTTATAAAAACTAGCAAAAGATTATTCTAAAAACTAGAACAAGACAAGGATGCTCTCTTTCACCACTTCTATTCAACATAGTCATGGAAACTCTAGCCAGAGCAATTAGAGACGAGTGGTGGGAGGGAAAGGGAGAGAGAAGGGAAATTGTATGGAAATGGAAGGAGACCCTCAATGTTACACAAAATTACATATAAGAGGTTGTGAGGGGAAAGGGGGGGAAAACAAGGGGGAGAAATGAATTACAGTAGATGGGGTAGAGAGAGAAGATGGGAGGGGAGGGAAGGGGGGATAGTAGGGGTAGGAAAGGTAGCAGAATACAACAGTCACTAATAATGCATTATGTAAAAATGTGAATGTGTAACCGATGTGATTCTGCAATTTGTATTTGGGGTAAAAATGGGAGTTCATAACCCACTTGAATCAAATGTATGAAAGATGATATGTCATGAGCTTTGTAATGTTTTGAACAACCAATAAAAAAAGAGCCTCAAAACCACTACTCACTTTATACTAATTTTAAGCAGCATGATAATTACTTCACAAATACTTTTCAATTTAATTCTTAAAACAAACCTGGACCATAGTTGTGATGATTTCTATTTTGTGACTGGAGAAACTAATACTCAAAAGTTAAGTCACTAAAGAATAAATTAACACACAGCTAATGAGAGGCACTGCACATGACCCACTGCTGTTTCCACCTGCTCACTCATGTCACATTTTCACTGTTCCCAGGGAGGTCTTCTTACAACTTCACCATCTCATTGACCCTTGTTGTTAAAGGATTTCAGTTTTATAAGCATTCTGAACAAAAATCTCTGACTAAAGGTACATTTTTACACTTAGTGCATTTTTTTTGTTTTCCACTGAATATGCTCATTATAATATTTATATTTATGTAGCATTTTGCAATTTATAAAACAATTCTATATATCTATATTGGCTTGTTAATGAGATCTGTCAATGACAATTACTGAATCTAACAAATTTGGAAAAACTCACACCAGCCATCTTAATCAAATCTTGGAATTGTTTAATTTCTTCCTCTTCATGTTCATTATACATTTAATGTCTGACTATTTTTCTATTAAAATGGCTTTACGGGCTGGGGCTAGGGCTGGAGTTCAGCGGCAGGGCGTTTGCTTAGCATGCATGAGGCACTGGGTTTGATCCTCAGCACCACAAACAAATAAACAAATAAAATAAAGACATTCTCTTCATCTACAACCACAAAAAAACAAATTTAAAGAAAGGCTTTCTGACTTAATCTTTCTAAATTTTCAGGAGAACTATTTGGGTTGGCCCTAATCATCCATTACCCAAATTAACTGCCATGGTTTTCTTGTATTTCCAGGCCTAGAGTTCCTCTGCCGTCTTCCCTACTCTGTACTGCTGTCACATTAACTCTTAAAATTGTTCTTATATAACCTCTTTGCTCAGAAACCTATATCACTCCATTTTCACCTAACAGTTCACACTGAATTGTCTAGCAGGTGAGGCCAACAGTCACCTGGCTGCCTATGCTCACCACTCTCCCTCTAACATTTCCTAAGTGTCTGGTCAGAGGGGCTCCTTCTAATTTGCTTATGTCCTGTTGGTTTTTGTAACTCAGCTTTACATGGGTTCCTATAGACAGTGTCCAGCCCTGCCTTTCCACCAAACTCAAAGCTATACTTTCATTAAGTTTCCTATCTTCTAGAGCCAGCCTAAAATAAACTTTGTTACTTTGAATTCCTCAAAAACTGTACATTTCCTCTAGCTATCCTAGAAAGGTTCTCTGATGTCTTCCCTGTTTGTCTCATGTCCAGAGTGGAGATCACAATTAAACCAGGGTTATTTAGCACAGAGCAGGGACTATATCTCCTACCGCTTGATTCTGTGGCTCTCTGGAGAAGGTGGATGCACAATGGATGCTGGTTAAGTGAACTGAGATGTGACTGGGTTTCCATCAAAGGCAGTCTCCTCATTCCTCTGTCTGGCTCAGTTATTGCTCTCTGCTGTAAAAGTTCTCCTCAAGGCATTCCTTCCCAGGGCAGAGAACTGTATATCAGAAAGTGTAGCTTTACAAACAGCATAGAGATGGCTAAATTATATCTCACTTGCTGACCAGAGGGGAATGAGAAGAGCCAGAGAACAAATGCAGTCATCCTCTGAAATCCTTCAGCTGGCTATCCTCTTAAAAGGCATTCACCTAGAGGGAAGCTTTGTCACTTGACTTCTTACCTCAGTACTTTCCCGTTGTGCTGCCTTCTTTGCAGTGTCTCTCTCAGTTTGAAACTGTTTTTTTAGAGTTTCTATGCGTTCAGCATGCAACTCTGCTTCTACTTTGGACTCCTCAGCCATATGTTCTCTGTTTTGAGGAAGACAGACAATAAATAAGCTTTAGAAACCATCTCAGGAAGCATGAAAGATTTGGAGAGGAATGAACAACTCTCCAAAATGTGTGTGATTTACAAACAAGATCAGTCTTTAGTTGAATCTCATTTGGAATTCATTAAGAGAAAAAAAGGTCCATTTACCTGCAGCATTAAAAACAAAAAACAAATGTCCGTCTATATTAAGAGATTCATCAAAAGAGTGAAATAAATCATAGGAAAAATATTAGCAGAAGCAGTCATACTTTGAGACACTTTTCATTTTATCATTTTTTTTTGCTAGCACCTATTCACTCCTTAAAGTTTTAACTTCTAATTGTTATTATTTCTTTATCTTTGAAGTGAGGGTCTTATATTAGATCAGCATTCTTAACTTGGGTTCCTTGGTCAAGATCCAAGATTTGGCTTTTGAAGATGCTGAAATACCCTGAAATGATATGCAAAATATTATGTGTGGGTGTGAGTTTTTGACTCTTACAAGTATAGGTGACTCCAAGAAAGGTTTAAAAAGAATGGACTCAAACAACAGCTAGGCTTCTTCCAGTTTTAACCTTCTCTTATTTGCCTCCAAATACTAATGCCTTAGTATGGCACTATTCCATGATTATCTGTATTTCTCAAAGAGCAAAAGGAGCCTGCCTTGCCATGAAATCTTCCTTTCCCCACTCTCCTCCTGAGCATCTTTTGTGTTTATTTGGATTACATACCCACATTCCTCATGTGCCTCTAAAAGTACCTCTGCTAATGGACTCAGCTAGTCTACTTGGCTTGGTCTATAGAATGAGACCTGCAGGAGACAACTGCAACTGTGCCCCACCCTTACTTCCTGGTCCTCAGGTGGGAACATGGCAATCAACTTTGGCACATCATCTCAAAAAAGTTGCTGACACATGTTCTAATGGCACCACATAAACAGATGGGAGATCCGAAGTCAAGGGAGATGACTATTTTGTTATTTATTACATACCCACATTCCTCCCCCACCCACACCAATCTAAAAAATGGACAAAAAATACATGGAGATCCATAAAGGGAACAAACCATTATTTGTGTAGCAGGTATTGTATTTTTATTTTCTTAACAACTTTCTAAATTGTCTTTAAATTTATTGTGCTTATTCTAGCAAAGTGATAAAGACTAGAGGTTTTAGAGTCAGCCTGCTGCTGCCTAGATCTAAATCCCGACTCTAACAAGATGATATGTGATCTTGTTATAGTAAATCATCTTTCCATGCCTGTTTCCTTATCTGTAAAATGGGAATAACAACAGTACCTAGCATCAAATAGTCACAGTAAAAAAGGAAGTGCTCAGCACAATACATGTCAGCTACTATTATCTAGTCCTAAAAATTCTAATTTTTATTAAATGTAATTTGTATTTTTCAAATGCAATTTGAGCTTTTATTAACTTTAATTTTAATTTAATTTTTAAAACTAATTTTCCTTTTACCCTCAACTTTCATATCCATCTCCAACTCTGAAACATAACATAAAATCTACCCTCTTAACAAAGTTTAAGCAATATAGTACAGCACTGTAAACTACAGGCACTATGTTATATACATCTCTAGAACTTATTCAATTTGCTTTTAATTTCTTCTAAGAAAAATATCAGACCATCCACCACTGGTTCTCTGAATAATGAACCACCTTCTTTTCCTTTCCTTCTGATCTCAGAGGAAGAAATGCATAACCTCAATTTCAATGATAACCCCTCTACTTTTCTTTGTTCTCATTTTTCTCCATTTCTATAAGATTCTTTCCCCTACTCTTCAATCATGCTCCAGTTCCTCCTATCCTAAAACAAGACCCTAGCAGAATAACTTTTCTTCATCTACTACTTTTCTTCATGAACTACTATTCAATCTTTCTTTTCACCATTGCCTTTTCTCATCAATCACTTATTCCTTTTAATTTTCTAGATGGACAAAAACTGACTAACTGAAGGATGCTCAGCAGGTACCAGTTGCAAAGATTAATGCTCTGTCTCTGGTCTCATTGTTTTTGCCACTCTTGTAGCATCTGACTCATTTCTGCCTACAGTGACTCTATATCCTCCAAATTCTTTCCTTGCCTCTGTAAATGCTTCCTTTCTGACTTTTGTTCCTTCCCCTTGAAATGTAGTGGATCCCCCAAGTTCTGAACTTGGTTCACTTCCTAGACTTCTTTCTGGGCACACTAACCCACCCAAAGACATCAGCTTTCATCTTTGTAAAGTATGAATTTCAACTTCTAACTTCTTGTCAAAATTGGGCTTCCATTTCTCAGTCTAAAAATTCTACCTCAAAACCAACATGTCTAAAACACAATCTCCCAAACTTGGTCTTTCTTCCTGCATAATTTCAAGAGGCTGACAGGTCTTATGTGAAGCATGATGAAAACATGAACTATTAAACAGTGACATAAAGGTAAATTCTGAAGCAAATGCTGCAAGGAGACCTCTGACTTTCAGTTCACCCTTTTCCTCTAAATGATCCAGCTATGATCATTTTAGCAGTAGGAGGAGGGATTATATTTTATGGTTACCTGGAGCATTTTCAGGGTTTGAAATAATTTATTAGCTATCTAAACCCTATCTACCTAAGTTGTCATTGAGAGTTCTGGGTTTTTGTTTTATTTTGGTTTTGGTACTGGGAACTGATCCCAGGGGCACTGTATTATTGAACTATATCCCTAGCCCTTATTATTTTAATTTGAGATAGAGTTTTGCAAAGTTGTTGAGACTGATCTCGAACTTGTGATCCCCCTGCTTCACCCTCCCAAACTGCTAGGATTTCTGGTGTACACCACTGTGCCTGGCTACTGAGGGGGTTTTAAGTGATTTGGCCAACCACTACATAAACAATATTGTTTTAACTAATTCTGAGTAGTCTTGAGGCAGTAATTGTTAACATTTTATCAGAATATAAAATTTGCACAGATCACATATATGAAAAATACCTTGTTCTGCTTCAGTTCATTCCTGTCTCCTATATCAACATGTACACTAACTGAAAAGAACAAAGATCTACATGCATACTGCATTTAGCTTAGGTATAAATTTTCATTTAATAATATTAGTATCTAAATCATATTTACCTAGGTTTTAACTTAAGACAAAACTTAAGTGGTTTGTCCTGAACTTGATGGGCTTGATCTAACTAATTTCATGTCAAAATTGAAAATAATTAATGGTTCAACATCTACTTAGATGGAATTGTTCCATTCTAGTCTCACCTAGACTGCTTATTCCTTGTCCAAATCATGCTTCAAAAGGATGCATAAGCTTGGAAGAAACAATGTAAGAATCCTTTCCAATCAATATTATTTAATTTTTTTTTAACCTTCACATAAGGAAGCAGCTTGACCTGACCATGGGAGAAGGAAGAGATGAAAAGGAGAACCAAATGGGCATGCGCCAGCCAGCTGTTATCTGCTGGTGATCATCTAGGCTTGGTTTTTTACTATGGTTTGACTTGAGTACTAGCTCAAAGTAGGAGAAAAGCATTTAACTGGCTTATGTAAATGAACTGGTCTTACTCTTCCAGAGGCTCTTTCCCAAGTTTACTGTGACTATATTGCCCTTACTTGAAGGTTTCCAAATTCTGCCGCTCAAGTTCTTTTTTTTCCAATTTTTCTTGAATGTGATCTAGCTTACATTGCAGATGATTATTTGTCTGAAGAGCTTGCTCCAGGCTCAAGGCCAATTTCCTGTTGTCTTCTCTTGCTATTTCTAGAGCTTTGTGTAGAGGCTCCATCTGAAAGAGAGGAGTGTTTTTAATGCCATTATAATAGATGCAAGAAGCCCATTACATTCCTTACACTGTATCCTCAAGTGCCATTGAAATAGGAGACTCTTAGAAGGCAATGGGAAGGCTATGCTGCAGTGATCATCAGAGAGCTTTGGAAAATAGAGCCAGCTTAATTTCTCAAAAATTGTAACTAAAATTCCTCTTCCCAATCCTATCACCTTCTGGTTTCATTCCCTAGGAGAGATAAAAACTGGCAACTATTTCTTGTATATTCTTCCAAAAAGACTTATTTATATAAAATATCCATGCATATTTTATATATATTCATATGCATAGATACATATTTATGTATGTGCACACGTGTTTGTGTTTCCTTATTAACAGTGGGATCATTCCAGCTATTTTTGAGATTATGTTATGTTTCTAATATATTATGTTTCTAAGTCTTTTAGTTTCTGAAATCATTTGTGCATTAAGTGAAAAGATGTGGACTATACAAGACAAAGAATATCAGTCATAATTATGTTCCTGGATTGCCAATAAGTGACTCATTGTGAGGCTTAAAATTAGGTTCATTTCCAATTTTTAAGTATGTCACTGCTTAAAAACTCAGACTTGAGTGAAAAAGAAATTTACTTGATTTTTTTCACTTAATTTTTTTCAAACAGCAACATCCTAATAAAATAAAATAGCTCAGTATTTTCATCTTTAAACACCTGGCCCTTACCTCACTGCTGTGCTGTGCATCCATAACAAGCATTCTGGCCTGCCACTGGTCCACTTCAGCTTCTAGCTTCTGCACCCTCTGTTGATTTAGAGCCCTAAAAATAAAAAGCCCAAGAGTGATTCTAGATTAGAATCATCTAAGAATTATACCACTTGGAGTTTCAGGACACTTTTCTTCTAAGACGCTCAAAGAGCGTCATATGTAGTAGGTCACAAATGCTCAAAATACCTGAGTTGGTAAATGACAATTACAGTCTCAGCTTCAGAGAAATAAACTAAGGCTCCTAAGGAATTAGATAACTTGTCCCATCTATGGTTCAACTTGGCTTGATGCATTAAGCTATCAATATATGTTTCTGAATAACTCATAGGCTGGTAATTTTACACTACCTATATCACTAATTGTTAAAAAAAACTCATCACTTTTATTAGGATTATTTTGCTGATGAGATTTTTGATTCTAAATACAAAGTTCCTTAGAAATTTATTGTGAATGGCAAACAATATTTTTAATATTGTCCTCTTGACTTTTGGTTTTACTTCAAAGATAATATATTTTCACAATATGTAAAAAAATATAAGCACAATGAAGAAAGTAGAATCCATTTATTCTCTCACAACACAGAGGCAACTTGCACCACTAATACATACAATGTATTTTAGAAGCCCTGTTATACTCAGGCCATTTGTTCTTTAACCTAAAAGGAAAATTTTATATAATTTTTAAAACAAAGAAGAGCTTATTTGTAAAACAAGGCTAGAAGTAGTTAGTTCTCAGAATAGTTCACCCAAAATAATTTTTAATCTTGAAACAGGATAGTAATAAATAAATAATTCAAACTAAAGTAGTCAAATACATATATATATTTTCTTTTTCCCAGTTGCTGAGGATCAAAAGTAGGGCCTCATGCATGGTTGGAGAGTGCTCCACCACTGAGCTACAACCCCAGTCCAGCTTTAATTATCTCAGTAATACTATTACTATTCATAGAGCCAAGAGAAGAATTAGGTTTAAATTAGAAAGTAACAAAGGAAAAACAGCAATGCAGCATGACTTTCAAGGATACATACTTCTTCACATAACAACAAAACATGGCCATTTTGAATTTTTAGAAGTTATGTTCACTTCTAATTCCAGGTTTCCCCCAATTTGCTAGATCTTTAAAGAAAATTTTAGTAGTCTTTCATGAGGGAAGTGATAAAAAGTGACTTCATGTTCTCTCTGGACATTCCTTTATAGTACACAATGCAGCAATATGGGGGACAGAAAATAATCACAGGTACCTTTCTTTCTTGAGGCCTGCAATCTCTGAATCCCTTCGCCCAAGCTCTATCTGTACTTTCTCTAAAGCACCTTGCATCTTACTATGAGAAGCCAGCACATTTTCCAACATGATTGTAACTTTGCAGTTGTCTTCTTTAGCCTCTGCTAATTGTCGCTGAAAGTTTCCTACCTAAAAGAAAATGAAACAAGACAAATACTCTTGATCCTTTCTGATTACACTTGTGTGTCTCATTACTCCTAGGAGAGAGTATGGAGAGCAGGTATGGTAGAACACTAAAATGAATAACTAAAATACATTATATTTTTATATTTCTTAAGTTATTGTGACTTTGAGAAAAAGCAAAGTAGACCCCTGATCCTACAGAAAACATGGTAGACTACTATCACTACACAGCACACACATTAACCAGAGATGATAAGGTTGACAAATTCGTGAGTTCAGAGGTGTTCCCAGGTGGTATGCTTAGCTGTCTTCTGATGGGGTCAGAAGAGAACACATCTGAAATCCATCAGAATTATCTCTTTTTCTAGACTGCAAGAGAAATTGGAAGCTGTTGAAGAAAGATATAGCTCACAGCCCTCTGCAGAGAGGCAAAATCTAGTATCTGCTCTCAAGAAGTTTGGAATGTGGTCAGATAAATGGACAAAGAAAATGTGATACATATATATGCAGGATAATATTATTCAGCAATAAAAATAATGAAATTCTATTATTTGCAACAACATGGTGGAACTGGGGGACATTAAGTGAAATAAATCAAGCACAGAAAGACAAATACTTTATGTTCTCACTTACATGTGGAAGCTAAGAAGTTGATCTCACAAAAGCATAGAATAGAATATTGGTTACCAAAGCCTGGGAAGAATGAGGGGGAATGTGGATGGAGATGGGATGGTTAACAGTTCAGGAGTACAGCCAGATAGGAGAAAAAACTCCTAATGTACTAAGCACAACAGGTAATTATGGTTGACAAAAACTAGTTGAATATTTCAAAATGACTCATAGGATTTTGAATGTTCCCAACACAAAGAAATGATAAATGTCTGAGGTAACAGAGATCTTAATTACCTCAATCTTATTATTATATATTGTATACATGTCATACAGAATGGCACAAATATATACAATTACAGTGTATCAATTAAAAATAAAAATGTTTTAAAAAAGCAAAGTTTGGGATGTGACTTCTGTTCCCACTAAGCACACACCATAGGAATGTTAAAGAGAAAGCATCATAGTACTGTTATATCACATTAACGAAACAAAAGTATGAATGTTATTATTACCAAGGTCAGATGAATTTTAATAGGAAAAATTAAGACTTTTGATTCTTTCAAGACAGTTAAAAAACATTGGAGTTACATGACATATCTTTAAGGGAAATATTTAAAACCATAATGAAGTTATCTTCTATAAAAAGAACTCTTCCTCTGATTACTTCTCATTCCTTTTACTAACAGATACAAGAAGATCAGTAATACGGCTCGTGAAAGCTTTAATAAGCACTTCATCTTAGTGACAAACTTTCAGAACAGAGAGATGCCTTGCCTTCTTATTTTCCCTATCCTCCAAAGCCTCCAAGTTCCCTTTCAACTTATGACTCTCTTGCAGGGCTGTATCTCGACACTTCACTGCTTGAGATAGCTCTTCTTCATTTTTTTCAAGAATGGATTTCACCTTAATAGAAAAATAGAAACAATAATTTTCTAAAATACCATAAATCAATGATGAGAATAAGGCACAGCAATTTAAAAACCAAACTGAAGATGCTTAATTAAACTTTTATTCATTAGTATAAATAAATTCCATCTTTATTAGCTGTTTATCCCTTTATAGAAAACTGCAAAATAACAACAACAACAACAACAAAAATCTGTGTGAAAAAACACAGGTAAACCTAACATATTAGTCACTCCCTATGAAAACATATGAATAGAAATAGTAATATTATGAAGACAAAATGTAAAATGATTATCATGGAACTTCTTTTTGAAAATGTAAATGCATAAATTAATATAATAAAAGCCAAGACAAATAAATAATAAATAGTTCTATAAACCAGGTAGAAGTCTTAGAATTTTATATTCTTGAAACACTCCCAGTGGAGCCACACCATCATTTTAGATAATCACACTATTTTAAATATTACTTTAGCCAGGCACAGTGGCACAATAATCCCAGCAGCTTGGGAGGCTGAGTTAGGAGGATCATGAGGTCAAAGCCAGCCTTAGCAACTTTGCAAGGCCTTAAACAACTTAGCAAGACTGTCTCAAAATAAAATATAAAAAAAGAGCTGGGGACATGGCTCAATGGTTGAACTCTCCAGGATTCAATCAATCCCTGATGCCAAAAGAAAAAACAAAAACAAAAACCTTTTTAATCTCAAATTATAGGGCTACAAAATATTTGAAAAATAGTATAAAAAGTTTTTTGTAGTTCCATAGCAAAATTGGCTTATTATTATTATTATTATTATTATTACTATTATTAACTAGATTACAGAATTCAATCAGTTTTCACCATTTTTTAACTTTTCATGCACCTGTGTGTGTCCCAGAGGTGCATGTGCACACACATATTGGACTGTTCCATACACATGCTTATGTGACCACCACCATAATCATGATAAGAACCCTTCCATCATCACTTCTTCCTTTCTACTACCTCTTTGCATTCACTGCCCCTCCAAACCCATCCATCCCCAGGTAAACATTAATTCATTCTCTATCTCTACAGTTCTGACAAGAATATTAAACATTTTGATATAATAAATATTTGAACAGGTAACACATTCATATTCTTTTAAAACTGTTACTGAGGTATAATTGACACAATAAGCTCCATATATATAAAGTGTACAATCTGAGAAGTTTTGACTTGAATAAACCCTTGAAATCATAATAAAAATAGTGAACATTTTCATTACCCCAAAAGTTTCTTTATGTCCTTTTGTAATCTCCCCCTTTATTTCTCCCTGTTTTCTCAACCCAACCCAAGGCAAGCTCTGATCTGTTTTCAGTCACAATAGTTTGCATTTCCTAGAATTTGATATAAATGGAGTCATTGTTATGTACTCTTTCATAGTTATTTTGAGATTTATTCAATTTATTGCATGCATCAATAGTTCATTCCTTTCTGTTGCTTAGTATTCTATCTGGATATATCTCAATTTACTTAACTATTTACCTCTTGGATACTTGAGTTGTTTCCAGATCTAAGCTATTACAAATAGAGCTGCTGAGAACACTTGGGTACAAGTCTTTGTATAGACATATTCTTTCATTTTTTAATGGGAAATACTTTGGAGTGAACCAACTTAGATTCACATAGTGGTAGCATGCCTTGCGTTTTTTAAAAAGTAGCAAACTACCTTCCAAAGTGGTTGTGCTATTTTACATTCCCATCAGCAATGTATCAGAGTTAGTTGTTCTACATCCTAACACTTGGTATGATAACTTGGTATGAAAAATTTTAGAACTTCTTATAGGTGTATGGTAATATCTCACTGAATTTCCCTAATGGTGGATGTTTAATAACTTTCAAGTGCTTATCTATCATCATTCATGTATCTTTTTTTGAAATATCTGTTTGATATTTTACCCATTCTTGTTACTGGGCTGTTTCCCTAATGAATTTTGAGATTTTTAAAAAACCCATTCTAGAGAAAAGACCTTAACCACAAAAGTGGTTTGTAAATATTTCCTCCCAGTCTGTTGATTATTTCTTTATTTCTCTTAATGCCTTCGAAGAATGCACATGTCAATTCTAATAAAGTACAATTTACCACTTTTGTCCCTTTATTGATTATAATTTTTCCTTTATTGATTATAATTTTTGTTCCCTGATTCCCCTGGTACTGAGAATCAAACCTAGAGCCTCATGCATGCTAGGCAAGTGCTCTACCATAGAACCAACCCTCTGGATCACACTTCTGATGTTAAATTTAAGAAATTTTTGCGTAACCCAAGATCACAAAGATGTCTTTTTACGTTTTCTTCTAGCTTTATAGTTTTAGAGTTTACATTTAGATCTATGATCCATTTTCAATTAATTTTTATATATGTTGTGAAGTATGGATAAAATAGTTTTCATTTTTACACATGGATATCCAATTATTCTAGCACAATTTGTTGAAAAGACTATTCTTCCTTAGCTTTTAGTTTTATTTAAAATGAAATATATCCATAAGTTAACAATTTGAACATATAGCACATTCACCTTATTTTTTTAATGTACAAAAAAATGTAAAAAAAATCTCTCAGCCATAGTTTCCTTCCTCAAAAATTTTGCCAGCTTATTATAAACACAATGCATATACAAATAAATATGCATGTATATATTGTTTATTTCCCTGCCCTTTTTGCATGCAAACAGTAAAATACTATCTATTTCTGAACCTTGTTTTAACCTAATAATATACATATCTTGAAGTAGATTACAAGCTAAGATACATGTGATTTATCTAGCCAGTCTCATTGATTGGATTCTGGTTGCTTGCAGCCTTTTGCTATTCATCAACAACTCTTCAGTAAGTAATCTTTAAACAAGTCATGTGTATAAGCTACTAAATATGTAAGGAAAAATCCTAGAAGTTAAATTGTGAGATCGAATTTTGTCACAATTATTACCAAGTTGTACTCCATAGGAATTTGTACCATTTATGCTCCCAACAGCAACCAAGAATGTCTTTTTCCCACACCTTTCTCAACATGTTTATATATCCTTAAAATTTAACCTGCAACATTTAAAATACTTTAACTTTTTCTGTAAGGATTACAGAATAGTGCAAAGAAGCCAATTCATTGGTTCTAAAGATCTATTGATTTTTTTTCTAAAAAATAATACGTTTTAATTTTTAAAATTTTACCAGTGTTTACAAGATATATTTACACACACACACACACACACACACAAACAATATTGCTAACGAAACTGTTTACACAAAGTATCTAAATAGTAGTCTACTTCATAAGATCATCTATAGTATTTTTTATTTTTAAACTTCCAGCAAAGATGGATGCTCTAATAAGTTCTCTCTGGAAAGTACATCCCAATGTTCAATTTCATGGGGATTTTTGGATTAATGTATTTCTATTTTTTTAATATTTATTTTATAGTTGGACAAAATACCTTTATTTCACTCATTTATTTTTTACATGGTGCTGAGGATCGAACCCAGGGTCCTGCGCGTGCGAGAGGAGCGCTCTATCGCTGAGCCACAACCCCAGCCCCTATTTCTATTTTTAAATCATGACTTATTCAAGCATTTTAGCTCAAATGTTGAGATTAGTTAGAAATTTTGAATTTTTAAAAACTCAATTAGATTTATAAAAACTCAATTGTAACTCAAGCCAAATTTTCTATGCCCAAATGAAAATTAGCTGATGGCCAAGAATGGTTTCAAAATTTACATCAGTTTTTATTATTTGTTAAGAACCAATTTATTTGTTGTTATGCATATCTTTAAGTATTATCTTCCTAGATTGTTACTGCTTTCTTCATTATCATATAAATCTGAAGTTTCCCTAAGATTTTATTTGTGTTCTTCACTTACCAAATCCTGTTTAAAACAATTTGGTGATTCATCATTTAGTAAGGGTCTTGAGGCAAGAATGTCTATTTTGCCTTCTAATCTTCCCTCCATAGTTTTAATAGCATTCAAAAGTGTCTTTAGAGAGATTCTGGAGTCTCCAATCTCCTGAGATGTTCTCACAGAAGGCAGTGTAGGTGCAAAACTCACACGGCGTGTGGAGTTTGGAAGAACACTGGGCAAACCAACTGTTGAAGTTCTCTCCTTTACATTATTTACATAAGACCTAGAGCTTTCAAGGGATTTTGAAGACGCTGGCCTCTCTGGAGATTTCCTTCTTCTTGGTGGCATCACCATTTATAAACAAAATAAAAAATTAACTAAATTTAGTGCTATTTTTCAAGGAATTGTTTCTCTCAGAGAAACAGCAATAAAAAGCAGCAGCCAAAATAAAAAAAAAAAAGGTTTGGAAATGTGTTCCTTTGCTTTCAGAATGAAGAGATCACACTGTAAAGTATGACCTAGTAAAGAAATAGGCCTTAAACCAAATTTCCTGTAGGAGAGTGTATCTAATGAGGTCACTCTTACAACTTTGTGACCTCATCACTCATCAGTAGAGCAAGTAGCTAGAACTCCATGACTATTCCACCGGAAGACATATTCTAGTACCTTGGTTACAGGGGGTCCATACACACAAATATTGTAGATACAGAAATCATACATGCTTACACCTAGAGTTGAAGATTTTTAAAATAACCTAATAATCTGTAATCATTAAAAGAACCACTTTCTTTTGGTAACACATTCCTGGGTTAAGTTCTTCACTAAATATTTTATATATTTTGCTTGTTTAATTAATTTGTTGAAATGTTATGTGACCTACAAAGGTTTCAGCCTCAACACTCTTCTTGCTGATAAGAAAACATCTTCACTATTAATACCTCTTTCAGGTGAGCTTCTGACTGTTGCAGGTATACCTTGTTGGCACTGAGTTCTGAGTTTGCCTATCACTCAAAAAACAGATACTTGTTCCTCCCATCTGCTAAGATTTTTTAGGCTCAAATTAAAAAAACACTTCCTTTATGAAAGCATTTACCAATGCTTCCAATCATATTAATGCTTTCTATGCAGGCTCATTAATATAATCTATATTTTTTCTGAAAGGCATAACTTTCTATTCTATAATAAGGTTTATTAAGAACATTCATAAACATCCTTAGAAGCAAGTTGAATGTCTTGATTCTGCTTCAGGCACCTTTATAATATGAATTCCTCTATGGCCTAGTAGAATCTTGTACACAGTAGTGCTTAAAAATGTTTGTTGAATCAAGATTGGATATTCATCCTTCTGGAATTGTATGGTAAAGTAGGGAAAAGGGCATCAAACAATTTCTTAAAAACTAAAACAACAGAACAGCAATCAGACAGCAATCAGCTTTTGAAGTTATTAAACATACATGAGCATATTTGGCCTCTAGAGCCTTATTCAGCTTGCGTAGATGTTCATTCTGTAAACTGGTTTCAGTAAAACACTGAAGTTGTTCTTCTAGCTGTTTAACTTTTGCCTAGAAAGAACATAGAAAAATAATGAACTTCATAATTTCCAAGAAGAGGAGATGTAAGTTTTGCAAAAAAATTAACAGAGGAAACTTGAAACTTTCAAAAAAAAATCTTCAAGTTTTTCTAATCATGCAAAGAATTCTATTTCAACTCACAGTTAAAAGTATATTATAGCCATTTAAATGTACTGAGATAACTCATTTGGTTTCTATTGCTCATGGAAAATACAAATCGATATGATATATAAACTTAACAGTGAGATTTTGTATTTAATATATTTCAATTTTAAAGGAATTTTAGTACCTGGCATTCAAAAACCTTTGAATATGGATAATTAGCATTGTCAATGTGCAAGAAATAGAAATACATTCTTGTTTTTTACTGACAAAGAATTAGAAAAGTTGAATAATTGGAATTCAACTCCATTATATTTTAAAACTAACTCATAAGGATAACTATACATATTTCTCTTTTAAAATTATCTTGTGGGATAAAAATAACATATACTTACAAATATGCAAATTCTATAATTTGCCATATTTTCTTCCTCTTAGCCCTCTTATATAAAAGAACAATTAACATTACTGAGCCTATCCGTGAATCAACAAATATGTATCCAAATTTTTTTGTTTTGTTTTGTTTTTGATACCAGGACTGAACTCAGGGGCACTAGATCACTGAGCCACATCCCCAGCCCTTATCCACATTTTTAAATTTATAAATGTTATTTAATTTTTTCTTGATATTTTATTTGCTATCTGTGGACAGCAAACACCCTTTTGGCTGTAGCTATTAGATTTTCAGGAATTGTTAAAAATTTGAGTGCTAATAGGGTAGAAAAAAGCTTTGTCTTAGGAAATCTCTTTTTTAATTTTTTATTGGTTCATAAATTATACATAACATTATGATTTATTTTGAGATAATTATAAATGCATGGAGTTAAATCTCCAGTATTTTACTTACCCTCCCTGTTTCCTTTTCTCTAGTCTACTGAAGATCTATTTTATATTATTAAAAAAATTAGTGTCTTCTGGGTATACATAATATGATTCACTGTAATATATTCATATAATGTATACTGGTAAGTTAGGTTCAAACATTCCACGGATTTTTCCATTATCCTGTCATTCCTCCTTCTCAATTCCCTTCTTCTACCTCCCCTGATCTTTTAGACTACCTTCCATGTATCAGAGGAAACATTCAACCTTTGATTTTTGGAGTCTGGCTTAGGAAATCTCTCTTATTTCATCAGCAGAATACTTGTTTCTTTCACCTTTGTCAGTTTCTGCCAATCTCTTCCACAGTATACAGTAGAAAACATGTGCTGTGGCTCTCCAAATCATTAGTAAAAATTAATCATGGTTTTCACTTAAGGATAAGAATTAAAATGGTATCTCTAAAGAGAGGTATTGATTCAACAATTATCTATTTTAAATATAAACCACTGTTAGTCCACAGAACCCAAGGAAAAATGAACTGTATGACTAAGAAGACTTTAATGTTTGCCTCTCTTCAAGTAATACAAAGTCCTATTCCCCAATAATACTTAGATAATTCATCCTACTTGATCCCGTAAGTGCCCAATAAAATGCCTTGAAACTCCAGACAGCATGTTCTTATTCATAAAGCACTTTGATATTTATATGGAGTCTCTCACTTGGCAAAAATTAACTCAGGACATTCAAAATGGGAAGAAACAAAGAAGAATGGGTCCGAAGCAAATAAATACTGCTGCCTCTCAGAGGTCTGGTGTTTCTGTGATCATTAAAATCCAAGCAGTTTCTATAACTGTCTTATCAGCCAGTCTTAGGAATAGAAATAATTTAGGTCAAGGTCATACGCTCATATTGTTTCAACTGGTCTAAATATATACATATGTATATAACTCTAATTATATTAACAATAGAGAAACAGATAACTAAGAAATGGAGGGTGGATACAAGATGGCGGGCGGAATAGAGGTAGTCCTGATTCTGGCTGCTCTGTGGCAGGAAACCAAGAAAGCAGACAGCTTATCCACAAGGTCTTGCCTAGACAGAATACAACATCTCAGAGAGTGTGAGAAGACCCCTATACAGCAGATTTTCACAGAATTCACCAGTGCTACAACCACATGTGCAGAAATCAGAGCCTCTGCGTTTGGGTAAGTTTCTAGACTCCAGACCCAAACCACAGTCCTAGCTCATGCAAGACTCACAAATGGCTTAGCAAAATCACCTATCAGCACCTCTGCACAACTCCAGACTGCTCTCCACTCCCACGCAGGTCAGTCAGCTGCTACTGATCCACAGCAGAAGACCATCCCGCAGCTGTCCCCACATCACCAGACACGCTGGAAGCAGACCAACTCCATCTTGGAAAACCTTCCTCGCCATTTTTGGTGGGCATGGCTATCAGATGGGATCACCATTTGAGCAGGTACCTGATTTCCAATTCCCCGCCCCTCCCCAGAGGCGATATCTCAGCACGTGGCCACCCAACACAAAAACAGGTCTCAGTTGGACAGGAGTGCAGTTCCAACAGGGCGCTGCCCACCTGGTGTGAGCCTGGGGTGAGAGGTCCTGCAGGTGGGACCTGATAAGAAAGAGATGGGAGGGGACCAAAGTCTGGAGCATAACAAAGAGACCAGGATCTGTGAAATTTCCAGGCAAGAGAGGGAGACCACAGTGGGGGCTCAAGTCAGATGAGTGGTCTCAAAAAAAGACACGTGAGGTGCTATTTCCCTGCTGGAACTGGTGGGTGGCACTCCCGGCTTCCAGACGCTCCACACCAGGTCCAGTCTTCTCACCCTGGTTATCTATACCATCCTGAGGGCAGAGACACCAGCTTAAAACAGACAACTCTACCTACTGGATGAGAAGAGAAGAAGGAAAGAAAAGGATCTCTAAGAGTATTTTTTTTTTCCTCCTCCTTCTACTTTTTCTTCTTTCTCTTCTACCCTTCTATCCTCTGGCCTTCACATCCCCGATATATGTATAAACAAGAACTTTGCATAAAATAGGACTTTGAGGATTGAGTCACCTGAATTATACAATATAGAGGGGTTGCATAAGCCTCTTTTTTTCTTTCATTCTTTCCCTTTTTTTCTCTTTCCTCTTCTTTCACCCTCTAAATTTTACTAATTTTACATCCTATATTTTTCTAAATACAGAAGTGTTTGTTTTATGTACTCTACTATCTACCCACGTACTTGTCTACCCCAAATTACTCCCTCTCTATTCCCCTGCTACTAACCATCTTCATTAGATTTCTCCTCCACATTCCCTAAGATGTAGTATCTCTATCCCTCACATCTTTTCCCCTCAACATATTGTCCTATGCCTGACCCCCAGTTCATTGTCCACTGCCAGAATGTAAATCTTTTAATGAAACTACTGATTATATTTTAAATAATAATTGAATCCAACATTTCTGGACATGAGACTAAACTGTAAATATCTTAATAACAACAATTTGTTCATAGGTGATATATTGTTGATATTGGGACCTGTTAACATTGTCCTTCCCCATAAAGGAGGGATCTTGGAACCCTACAAGAGCCCTACAAATCTATAGGATAAAAACAATAACACACCAGATCCACAGAGCTGGAAAGGAAGACACATGAGCAACATGAAAAGACAATGGAAGAAAGTACCACAAACAAATCAAGTCAACATATCATTGGCAGCATTGGCAGCTACAGCAGAAAAAATGACAGAAAAAGATTTCAGGACATACATGGTTAAAATGTTTTGGGATTGCAAAGAAGACATAAAACAACAAATATAGGCAGTGAAAGATCACTTCAACAATGAGCTACATACACAAATCCAAGAAGCAAAAGATCACCTCAAAAGAGAGATAGAGGTTCTTAAAAAAACGAACAAACAAACAAACAAAAAACAGAAATCATTGAAATGAAAGAAATAAAAAACCAAATTAAAAATTCAAATGAAAGCATCACCAACAGAGTAGACCACTTAGAAGATAGGATATCAGACAATAAAGATAAAATAAATCATCTTGAAAAGAACACTGACCACACAGCGAAAATGATAAGAAACCATGAGCAGAACATTCAAGAATGGGATAGCATAAAAAGACCAAATTTAAAAGGTATTGGGATAGAGAAAGGTACAGAGATCCAAACAAAAGGAATGAACAATCTATTCAATGAAATAATATCAGAAAACTTTCCAAACATGAAGAATGAATTGGAAATCCAAATTCAAGAAGCCTACAGACGGCAAATGTACAAAATCACAACAGATTCACAAGGCACATTATAATGAAAATGCCCAACATACAGAATAAGGAGAGAATTTTAAAAGCCACAAGAGAAAGAAATCAGATTACATATAGAATAAAACCAATTAGGATAATGGCAGAGTTTTCAACACAGACACTGAAAGCTAGAAGATCCTGGAACAACATATTTCAAGCTCTGAAAGATAATGGGTGCCAACCAAGAATCTTGTATCCAGCAAAATTAAGCTTTAGATTTGAAGATGAAGTAAAAACCTTCCATGATAAACAAAAGTTAAAAGAATTTATAGTTAGAAAATTGGCACTACAGAAATATTGGCAAAATATTTCATGAAGTGGAAATGAAAAACAGCAATGAAAATCAGCAGAGGGACGTAGTACACTAAAGAAAAAACTAATCAAAGAGGAAAACCAAGTCAAGTTAAATAAAAAAATAAACAAATATGGCTGGAAATACAAACCATGTCTCAATAGTAACCCTAAATGTTAATGGCTTAAACTCACTAATCAAAAGACATATGCTAGCAGATTGCATTAAAAACAACAACAACAACAACAACAAACCAATATGCTGCCTCCAGGAAACTCATCTGATAGGAAAAGACATACACAGACTGAAGGGGAAAGGTTGGGAAAAATCATACCCCTCACATGGACTGTGGAAGCAAGCAGGGGTTATCATACTCATATCAAATAAAGTAGATTTCAAGCCAAGGTTAATCAAAAGGGATAAAGAGGGACACTACATACTGCTCAA